CATGAAACACAAAACAAAACTTTCCATAAAATATACAATAGTAAGAGGTGGGGTGTGCCACCCATGGGAGGCACATGTGGGCCCCACCTTAGAGAAACATGGTGGGCCCATGTGCACAATGGGCCTCCATGATTATTATTTTTATGTATTTAAAATTAACAAAATAATTTCTGGTGAATATTAAAATATTGTAAAATCAATATCTTTAATTTTAGAAATCCAAAAATTATAAATAAAGTATCCAAAAGGTTCATAAAAATTCAAATAATAATTCTAAAATAATCATTATCATAAAACAAACACAATTAAATTAATTTGATAGAAAATGGATCCATATGGTTTAGGAATTAAATCAACAATTATGGGGCACTCTACCTTCAACGGTAGACTACGGCCACACTTGCTTTATCAGACTGACCTAGTATTTTCTATGACCCACAGTCCAAGCAAGAGCTCATTAGTGGGTCACCAAAGTCTGACCGATGAACCAAGGGGTCGTAATTCCAGTCTGTGGATTATAGGTCCTCTCCTAGAGACGAGTCCAGGTCACCAAGACGTGATGTGACCACAACTCTATTGCATATAGGGGGATCTCTCGCACATGAATATGCTTCACTCTAAAAGGTGGACTTCTAGCGTTCCCAAACAATCTATCGATATGTATGCCGTGTGATGGCACATGTATGAGGTTTTGACCCCCGTCTATGTAGGCCACCATCACACACAATGGTCACACAGTCTCTCGGCTCACTAATCTAGGCATGTTCTCCGACCTCATCAAGGGCTAACCTATGAACCATCATCGGTTTGTTCTTCATATCCAAGCAACATGAGTTTTTCCCAACCGACTGGCCTAGATCGTCAAGCACAGTCTGGTATATGTAAACATCATTTGCATGGTATGGTCCACGAGGGATCATACTCTCATTGAGTTCATGTTCCACTCTATCATTTCATTTTACAAGTACTCATAAGGTCTTTAAAGGCTACATGAACTCAACAATCTTAGCTACACTCGTTCTTGGGTATGTTGTATCTTGACCACCCAACGTTCCGCCCCATAAAGTAAAGTTGGTCTCACAGTTTCCTAAAGAACTTGTCCTTCAACTTCATTGATCTCACCACTGTCCTAAAGTTGGCCTCACAATTGTTCCAAAGAATGTGCCCATCAGCTTCATTGGTATGCGGCAATCATAAAAACTCCGATTGCACATGTCCACTTTACCCATTTAGCTCTAATTCTATGTGGCTCGTCTTCTTCAATCTCTCCATTTTTCTGGATTATTGACACAAGACATCGAAAGTGTGTTCTTTTTGGTATTTCTTGCCAATCAATATTAACTATCTCATCGTCTCTACTCCTATTATTACTAGACTTGCATTCCATATATTTTGTCTTTGTCTGACTGATTGAAAGAGAGAATATGGAGATATATATTAAAGTGATCCTAAGGTGTATTTTTTAGAGATCATATAATAAGATTATTTTTGGTACAAGGAGGTTCTCATCACTATTTGCTATTAAGTATGATGGCATGCGGCTGAGAGATGCACGCTCAAAGTCGAAGAAATTTTTTTTTTTCCATTATCAAAATGGAAATAAACATAAAAAATAAAAGAACCTTTTTTTAATAGTAAAAAAATAAAATAAAATAATAGCACCAATTAACACTTTCAAAATGTAACTCCCTGATCTATTGAAAAAACCGGTAGGGCATGTCTTCCCCACTGAGTCAACTTTAAAAAAAAAAAAAAGAAAAAAAAAAAAAGTGATTATAGCCTTGTAACAAAAGGAAATGTTCTTATAGTATACATTCTCTTAAGATGCCATAACTCACATATAGAAGATTCGTATATCTTAGATAGAAACTCTAGTAAGTTGCTGCAGCAATTCAGGAAAAATTTAAATGAAAATGACAGTTTTGAACGTCTAATTAACTATAACAATATTGGGATAAGTGAAATTTTCTCAAATAGAAAAGCGTAAAATAATTGAAAACTGATCCTATGAGCTCCTTACACGCCACAGCATTATTTAGCAAGGATTGTATCGGAAATCCGCGGCATCTATCATTTGTTTCCCAAACTTATGGATTTGTATTTTGTTACACTCAAATAAAATGAGAACATATCAAAGTAATGAAAATATCCTTTTTATACAAGATAGAATAGCAAACCACCTGGTCCATTCAAGGTAATTCTGATAGAGGAGCACTATAATGAATTCTAGGGATAATACCACAAAAATGACCAATCCACTCAAAAAAATCCATAAAGTATTAAAATCAAGAGTTTCAATGGTAAAGTGGTTACCTTATAAATATCCTCCTGTACACACCCAAGAGTTTTGTTAAAAATTGGTCAAATTGTTTTTGTTTCGCTATATCGGAACCTGGGTACAGTGAGAAATAAGCAAGGGTAAGCTAGGACATTTTTCAAATGCGATGCGCCGCCCGATTGCGGTGAAATGTACGTAAGGGTTCCCAAGACATTCTGGAAGACCCTGAAAAGGCCCACTTGAACCAAATCATGTAAATGTGCTTCTTTCTTCCGAGTTCTAAACTTGGAACTTGTTTATTTCTTTAAAAAATATTGTTTTATGTTTGAAAAAAGAATAAGAGGGTATTTTGGTAATTTATCCCTATTTAGGTTGTTTGTGCTATAGGTCAGTTCCAAACTTGGAAGATGTGTTTCTAAGATTAATAAAATGAAAAAAACAAATACCATGTTAGAATCTCGAACAAACAAAGATATTTCAACCATTTGTCTTGATTAACTACATTGACCAAATCACCAAAGTGTCTAGTTGTTTGTTTGCTATTTTCTTTCAAAGGAAAGTCTCTTGTCCACATAATGGAACATTGGAGTGAAGTCATTCCTATAGTTGAGAATTAAATCAAGCCGTATCCAACGGCCAAAAATATAATTGTTGTGGATGGTGGAAGATGCTTGTGGCGTTTACATCAGGTGGATACTATACCATCCCTTATCTAAATTTTATAGAATTAATGGTACATTGATTATAGTAGAGTGACAATAATGTCATCTTGATACTTTTTTAAGAAGGGAAAAGTTTATATAGAGCCGAGGCTCTAAACAATCAAATTTGAGCTTATCTCAAATTGGATATGTCACATCAAGATGTATAGACATGAGAGAAAGATGGATTTCAAGCTTTGAGAATAATGTATTTTGTAATGTATTTTGTAATGTATTTTGGGCCGTCAATTTTTAAGATTTTTCACTTTTTATAGATCAATACTATTTTTGAAACTTAAAATTTTATAAATAAAAATAAAAATAAAAATATATTTTAAAGCTATCACAACTGTTTGAAATCACATTTCTCAGCACTATGTAAAGGTAGGCTCTAATTCTATTGTTTAGAGCAATGGTTTAAAAAACGGATCCGTGACCCGAATCGAGCTTCCAAACAACCGATCCGGATCGGTGAATCGGCGATCCGGATCGGGAATCTGTCAGAATAAAGCTTAAAAAAAATCCGAAAAAATTATTAAAATTCATTATAAATATTGTTTTTTAGGAATTCAATAAGAAATGAGAGTACTCCATTAAGAATTTTCATGTTTTTGAATGAATATGCGAATATTGATATGTTCTTTCCCTGCATGAACCGCCATTCAGCATTTAATTTACATCACAC